CTCCAGGAAAACACAACCCTCAAACATAATCTGATCCCTCTTAGAAAACACAACCCTCAAACTTCATCTCCAGAACGCGAAGCTATGTTAAATCGGTATTCATCCTTTCCTTCCAAAATCAATACTTTGACTTTGCTTACTAGATACTAATATTCTATTTTGTTCATAATCACATGTTATACTTAAAAGAGAAAAGAAAGGAAAGTAATAATCTTTTTATTTGGTTTTGGAGAAAAGAAAAAAATTTGAAAGTTAATTTTGTATATTTAATTACTATGATTAAAATGTTTTAGATTCTTTTTTAAAATCCTTTAATATCTTAGGAGAGGTAAAATTCTATGAGGAAGAATTCTCTTCAAAACCAAATAATAAAAGTTTTGAAAAATGTCTCTCATCTTTCCCCCTCTCATCAAACATTATATTAAATATTAAAACAAATAACTATAATTATTAATAAGAAATTTATTATCATTTTATATATTACTAATTGAAACTACTTATTTATTATTTGATTTAGAAAAGTTAAATATGTAAGAATTATTTAGAGGACACAATACACAATCAATCATTTTTAGTCTTTATTTATATGGGAAGTAAATTTATGAGAGTAAAAAGGAAAAAAACAATTAAAGAAGTAGATAACAAAAATATAAGGTTATCTAGATTAAAAAGAAAATAAATAAATAAGTGAGTAAAAAATAAAATAAATATATTTAATTTTAATAAATTATTAATTATTTTAATATTTTTAAGTAAATTATTTATTATTATAATTAAAAATAGAAAAAAAAATTGGAGACGTAATACGTTGACATAATCGATTAAGTAATATTTTATTTTGCATGATCAATTATATTTTTTTTAATAAATCTTTTTACTTTTGAGTAGAAAATAGAAAAAAAAGTAATGTTTTTATTTAATTTTAATCTGGTATTCATTATTATTAACTTTATTTATAAAAAATATGAAAAAATATTTAAATTAAATTAACGGTTAATTTAAAAAATAATTAATATTGTTTTGAACTTGTAAAATTATAGATAAATTTGAATGAAAATCTAAAAATAAAAAATTAATACAGAACGAGGTTGTATATATATAAATACTTTCATTAAAATTGATGCATTCATAAAATTAAAATCCCTTAATTTTTTCTTTAGAAATTATATATATATATATATATATATATATATTTATTTATTTTTTTTTTCATTTTTTAAGATTTTGTTTTCCAAACTGTCAAGGAAATTGAACATTAGGATATTAGTATCTTAGGTAGCAAAACTAGTTTCTTATATTGAGTCACATTCTCCAACTTATTTGGGTTATTTTATTTGGACTTATTTGTCGATCTTGCCGACCCTCAAGCATGGCAATAGGGAGGGGTGGGTGGATTTTGCCTTCCCGATCCCTACCCTCGACTTTTTTAATCATCTTTGTCCTCGTTTCGATTTCGTCGGGGTTAGAAATTAGGTCTCCATCCTTGTCTTTGTTAAGTATCGGGTTCCTCATTCTTGATCTATATATATTATTTTAAAAAAGATAATTACATTTATAATAAATTAATTTTACTATATCTTTTTTATATATAAATAAATATTTATAATTTTATAATTTATAATTATTATTAATTAAATATATATTTTAATTTATTATATTTATATATGTATGTAAAGGAATTATTTAATCATTTTTATTTATAATAATAATATTATTATTATAACACTGTATTCAAATATTTTAATATTTATAATATTTTTATTATAATAATACTATATTTAAACATTTGATTATATATATATATATATAAGTTAATTCATTCTTAAATTTTTATTTAAAAATATGAAATATATAGTTTATAAGGAAATATTTAATAAGTTAATTCTTATTCAATTAGTTTGAAGTAATAAAAGTTTAAATTGTCAATTCTTTTAATAATTTAAAATAAAATTATTTTATTAAGATAAAATTTGTTATATGATAAATAAGAATAATAAGATAAAAAAAATATGACATAATAAAACTTAATAAATATAAATTATAAATAAAATAATATTAGTTACTACTAAGATTTATGTAAAATATTTAAAAAAGGATAAAGAATAAAAAAAAATTAACTTCGTGTTCATCAAATTGGTTGAAAAGATTGAAAAAAAAAACAAATTGATGGGAGAGATTAAAGAAATGTGAAAAAACTGAGAAGTAAGAGAAAATAATATAATAAATTAATTTATATAAAAGATTAAAAAAGACAAAAAAATTACGAAGTAGGTAGAAGAAAAATAAAAATTGATGAAATATAAAAAAATGACCTTATATATAATAGAAAAAAAAAGAAATATTTTTAAAATATTAATATTTTAAAATTTAAATATAAATCGGGGACGAGATCGGATCGGGATGAGAATTACATTATCCACTCCCGCCCTCGTCTCTAATCAAGTCGAATTTTCTTCGTCAAACTTAAAACAAAATAGGTCGATCTACATATATGAGATTAATTGTCGTCACTACTATCCTTTTTAAAATAAAATCCTTTTTAAAATAAAATTAATGTTAAATGAATGAAAAGATTTTGGTATTTTAGAATAATTTATATAAATTGTCTTTTTCAAGGTAGATCAAAGTGGTCATACTTCGATGGCCCAAATTGAATAAATTGATTATAAACAAATTCATATCACTAAATAAGATAGTTGTTAGCAATAATTTAAATTAAAAATCTCTGCGGATACTGTCATTCAACGCTCATAACTTTTAGGTTATCGATTTTTTTATTGTTGTATTGAAAAAAAAATCGACGAACATACTAACTACTGAGAAAATTTTAAAGTTGAAATACTTTTTTTTTCTAAATTATATAAGAAAACTTATATTAATTAGTTGTGGTATAACTAACCTTTAAGTTATAGAGAAATTATTATTCTTTCTTACAATGAAAAAAATGGTTAAAAAAGATTAAAAAAAATTATTGTACTAAAAAAAATAATAAAATTTTAATTAAATTAATTACAAGATCAGCACCTAAATTATAACAATAATAAACAAGTAGTAAAATAAAGTTACAGATTAATAAAATAATTAAAATGACACAAGGTTGAGCAACTGAAACAATTAATAAACCATTCTGAGCCCGAACAAATGAAAATAAAATTTTATGTTTCAACCAAGTTTGTGTTTTAGTCAACGTTTGTAAAATTGATTTTGTACAATTTATCTTAGTGAAGACTGATTTTTCAAGTATATTAATTTATGTTTTTATTCTTGAAGCAAATATATAATAAAATTAGATGTATAATTATATTCAATGTAAAATTAAGTAATATTAATTTAATAAAGTAAAATTAACTTGTCAATACGATACTCGATAATAATAATAATAAAAAAAAACGAATTGAAATCCTCAATCTTCTACTTAAAAGTAAAATAAAATAAAAATAATCTTCGGTCTCGGATTGTTCTTTGTCGTTACTTTCTGAAGTAACTTGGTCCTGTCCTCCATCATCGAGCTTCCTTTTCTTGTATCAACGTTAATATTGTATTTTTCACGATGAAGACGTGGTATTTGTCCGTGGTGGATTATAGAGAAAAGATGCAGGTTCCCCATCATATGCACTTTCCTTAGATAATTGGGGTTCATAAATTTCAAACTTTTAATAGTAGAAAATTTAAGCGTAGCTTGCGTCCAACACAGTTCAACAGCTGGCATGGCAATGTGTGAGCACTAAACATACCCAGGACGAGACACCAGGAGTGATGCAAGAGAATATATGGATATTTTTAATCTAAAACCATAAATTATTAGATTAATATCTTTTTTTCAAAAGTTAGTCAATTTTTTATTTTTATTTAAAAAATAAGATAAGAAGTTTGATTTTTTTTTAGATTGGTATGTATCTTTTAGCCAAAATATTTTTTAACCATAAACAAAACGGAGCAAGGAAAATTGGTGGGATTACGGTCCCACCTAAAAAAAATAATCTTTAAAAAGATAATACCAATTAGATATAAATTAAATTTAAATAAGAGATAAATATCATTTTTAACAAAAAAAATTAAAATATTAAGTTATAATTTTTTATATTTTATATTTTATTTTTATTTGAATGAGACTTAGATTTATATTTAAATTTTTTTTATAAATTTCTTTAAAAAAAATAAAAAAATTTGATTTCGTCCTGAATATTTTAATAATCATCTTATTTGTATCATCATTTCATACAATGCAACTTGCTTATTTAAAATTCTTATAGGAAAACTTTCATTACCATGATTCAAAATTTAATTTTGTGATTTATTATAAATCTTATTTAACCAAGTTAGAATTCTCGTAATATTTGTGTGATGGAAGTTAAACTCTAAAATATACTTAAAAACTAATAAGTTAAAAAAATATAATATTATATTACCCAAAAGTCTTAATGTATATATATATATATATATATATATATATATATATATATATATATATATATATATATATATAATAGATGACTAGTCTTTTCATAAATGACTCAAATTTTCTATTTATATTTAATATGAAATTTCGATTCAATTCTTAAATTTTGATTATAGAAAAAATATCCTATTGTAATAAGATTTTGAGATAAAGATAAATTAGAATTAATCATTTACTCAAACTTATTTATTAAAAAAATAAATTCTTCAGATAACTTTAAACATACCAGGATCAAGATTATTTTAGTACAAGTGTATCTTCATCTGCGGGTATTATAGAAAATGCCGAATTATAGGTTTCAATGGGTGAATTAGAGTGAGAAGGGTGTAAGTTGAGTATTTTCCTTCACTTTGAAGATATATTTTCTGTTCTCACTGCCCCACAAGTATTATCATTTTCACTCATCTCTACACTGCCCTTGTAATAAATACTCGTCCTCAACTTCATAAAACTCGTACACAAATAGAATGCAAGAAAATTACTAAGCACCTTCTTATGCTTAGCAAATTGTATTGACCAGAAATTCATTCAGAACACCATCATGAAGGATTTGGGCGTGGTTACGCTCCTGTTGACCATAGAGTTCCTGGATGTCATCGTCTACACTGTAAGCAAAGCTGCCATGAAGAAGGGCATGAATGATTTTGTGTTTGTCATGTACTCTAACGCCATTGCATCTTGCTTACTTCTTCCCTTAGCCTTATTCTTTTACAGGTATCTCCGTCAATTGTTCTTTTCTTTTTCCCTAATCCATATAGTGATGAATTGAAGATAAGTAAATCCACGGGCACTTTCCCTTTCACTTTTCTCAATCTATTTGATGACTGGGCAGGAAAAGGGCTCTTCCGCCACTCACATGTTGCATAGCGGCCCAAATATTTGTTAATGGCTTGTTAAGGTAATTGTTTATTTCAGCTACAGTTCAAACATTTCAATTTTAGTTTAACCTGAATAGTCTTGTTGAGGAGGGATTTTTTTTACCGTTTTTCTGGGGCTTGTGTTGTGTGTCTTGCAGTTGCAGTGTCCAGTTGCTCAGGTTTTTTGGAATAGGTTACAGCTCTCCTACTTTGGCCACTGCAATGTCTGACTTAATCCCTGCTTTTACCTTCGTACTTGCCATCTTCTTCAGGTTGTTATCTCTGCTCTCATTTTGTAACATTTGTTTTCTCTCGAAGGCACTGAACTTGAGCAAATTTCTTATCTCAAATTTTGAAGAGCATGATAACCTAAGAAACTTGACATCTCAGCAATGAACAATGATGACTGCGGCCAAATTTTTGGAATCAATACCTACCTGATAGTAGGTATTGCATAATTTCGTGATTAATCTTAAGCTTCTCTTTTTGGTAATTGTCGGTACAGGATGGAAAAGTTGGATTGGAAAACTAATAGCACACGGGCCAAGTCCATTGGCACATTTGTATCAATCACTGGAGCCTTGATAATTACTTTGTTCAAAGGCCAGGCTATCATAAATAATCATCCATCTAACAAATTGTTTCACAAAAATTTTGTTTCATCTGAGCAATTTGATTGGGTAATAGGATCAGTGTTGCTTGCGGGTCATAGCTTTGTTCTCGCATTGTTGTTTATAGTTCAGGTAACCAATGCAAATCGAGAACACCCTTTTGGGTTATATGCAAAAAAATAAAAAAAAGTGCGTAGAAATATTGAGTTTACTTTGTTTCTTTCATATTTCTAGACATGGATAATCAGAAATTACCCTGCAGAGCTTGTGGTAGTGCTCATTCGCGGTATGTTAGTCTCTCTGCTATCTGTTCCAGCTTCACTGATTTCAGTACAGGATCCAAAAGATTTGAGACTGGGATTTGATGTGCAGTTGATAGCCATTGGATGTCAAGTAAGAACAGAGACAGTGATACTATTTCCTGTATTTTATAAGTCTTCTTGTTCCGATTTTCAATTAACCTGATGTGTTTCTGAATGTAGGCAATTTTCAGTGTATCCTTTAGAAGTGTTGTTCATATATGGGTCTTGGGAAAGAAGGGCCCTCTCTATGTTGCAATGTTTAAGCCAATTGGAATAGTCTTTGCCGCCATAATGGGCATTTCATTTCTTGGAGACTCTCTCTATCTTGGCAGGTATAAATTTCTTTCATGTGTCTTAATCTTAACTAAAATTTGAGGTGTGTGAATGAACAGAATCTAAAAAAACGACAGTCCAAGGAAGACAATTATGAAGGGGAAACATTTTTATTTTTATTTTTTTGTATGTGAATGCAATTGAAAAAAATTACTTTAGTCTTAGAAGGAACATTATTGTGAAAAACTTGGCTTTGTTTTATGTCCAGTGTGCTTGGAGCAGTCATAGTGGTGATTGGTTTTTATGCTGTTCTCTGGGGGAAAAGCCAAGAAAGAACGAAGGAAGAGATTCAAGTTCATATGTTGGAATCACCCTCGCCCGTTGTCCCTCTTTTGCAGAACAAGAGAATGGAAGAATAGAATCATCCCAGTGATAACGATGGAATAAAAAAAATTATATCATTTTTTAAGAAAATGTTAAATTTATATGAACATTTCTAGATCTTCAAGATAAATGTCTCATGATGTAATATTTTGACTAAAATTGAATAAATATTTTTCGGTTGATTTGAAACCTTAGTCTAATTTAACAAGATAACAAGAACTTAACAATCAGCAAGAAAAGCACACCAGCTTCATAGTTTAATTCTCTGTCTAAATTATTAAAATTCTTTAAAATGATTATGCTGCCGTCAGAAGAGGCGATTGGAGCGACGCGATGGTTTTTTATATGATTCATGTTTTCTTTGAAAGAAACGGTTCAACGCCTTTAGGCCGTCCGATAACCGGGTTGGACTTAAAGACGAGGTTTTCGAATAGGTTCGAGGAGTCGCCATCAGCGTTTTAACCTTAAACACTGAAAAAGGTAAAAAAGAAAAAGGCAGTGGTTTTAGAAAAAACCAACTTTTGCCATTATAACCAGAGTCGGGTAAGGGAGTTAGTTACGTGTGGGGAAGGTGTTAGCACCCCCACAACGCCCCTTTCGGTTTCCTATGATGGACTAACTTAGAAAATAAACACTTAAAAAAATTACATTTTTTCCCTATTATTTTGATCTACTTGCAGAATTTAAATATCTACATGGCTCTATTATCTAATGCACATAAAGAAAGCGATAAAGAAAGCAGTAAAAAAGACAGAGAATAGAGAAGGAACCTCCGAAGCGAGCTTTTATATTAACTCTTCGAAAATGTGAGGACGCTTTTTGGCAGTCCCCGCACTCTACAAACACGCTCCTCCCGCAAAATAAAGAAAAGTCACTCTACCGAGGGTCGGATGTCTCAAAAAGAGACTTCCTTAACCGATTTCAACCTTAACGGAAATCGGAAAGCTCTCTCGAACCCGGGAATAATGCTCAGGGTCACTCTCAAGTGCCAAAGGCTTCAAAGAGAGTGGAGGAGTGGGAAAGGTGTGAAAAAACGGAGAAATGAGGTCCCTATTTATAGGGATTCGGGCCTGGAAAAGGTGGACGGTCGTCTGGACAAAGCGGACGGCTGTCCATGGCAAAAAGTGGCCATGGACGGCCATCCATGCAGTGTGGACGGTCGTCCATGGCAACTTTTGGCCATGGACGGCCGTCCAAGCTAAGTGGACGACCGTCCATGGCCTTAAAGTTGTCATGGATGGTCATCTGCTTGTCCTTGACGGCCATTTGCCTGTTCTGGACGGCCATCCGCCTGTTCTGGACGGTCATCTGCTGTCTCCGGTGGATTTCCCGATTTTTAATGCCTCTGAAAACCCTTTCCATCCTAAATGGAATCTAGAACAAGCTACTAGGGACTTGATAAAGTCTTAACCATTTTCGAAACGGACGATCTTCGGCTTTATTAGGGGTCAGATAAGATTTTGGGTCATGATTAAATTCTAAGTGGTTCTTTAACAAATTTTACATAATTATTTTCAAGAAACTTAAGACCAGTATGGGTACTAAAATCTTAACTTTATTATCATGTTAAAATATTTAATAAAAATAACGTGGCCTTTTTTATTAAAATATTTACTTTATTTATGAGAATTTTTTATTTTAATACCACTTGAAAAAAAATTTCGAAAAACATTATTTTGTAGAAATGTTATATTTTTTAAATTTAAACTAAATATGAAAAATATAAATTTCCATTTTAGATTTTTTTAATATTTATCAAATACTACCTTCGTTTACTTTCTTAGTGAAAATATATGAAATTGTGTATATAATATGCATTTTTGTTTTACATAAAAGATATTTTTTAAAAATAAATAGAAGATTATTAAATTTTAATTCAATTGATCGATTTTTTTAATTTATATGAAGTTATTTTTTTATGGTAGTACCTCATAACAGGTTAACTGAAATAATCTCATACTAATGTGTATGGTAATTTGAATGATAAATATTAAATGTGTTTCATATTTTAAAAGTGCTGAATTTTTTTTGTCACTTAATACTTTAAAGTTAATGGAAAATTAAGATGCTACTACATTTCATTTATAATATTGAAAGAGACTTATATAAATTATTGAAAAAATTGCTTGTTAAATTACATTTCTGGTCCCCGTAGTTGGTGGGTTTAGATAATAACTCTGCTACCAGGGATTATCCTGCAGCGTCTCCGCGATCCAATCCAACGGCCCTGATTTCTGGCGCAGAGAAAACCTTGACAGAGACACCGGACAGGATCCAAACTGGATCATAAGAACGAAGAAGAAACACAGAATGGAAGTGGACTCTTCCGTGGAACAGTTTTGACCTTAACCTTGAACACTGCTGCTGAAAATGGGGAAGTTGACTTTTCCGTTTGTTGGAATGATTATGGCGGAATTTGCTCAGGTTGGGTTAATCATATTGAGCAAACAAGCCATGGAACAAGGAATGACCAATTTCATCTTCATCTTCTATTCCAATGCAATCGCTGCCCTCCTCCTTCTTCCCATTTCCTTTCTTATTCACAGGTTACTTACCTATCTCTATCTGTACTTTTTTACTTCTATCTATTAAATTATTATCTGTTGCTATTTTTCAGAAGTGGACCTCACCCTATTAATGATTTTATGGTCGGCTTATAACACTTGGCAGATTTGAACGTCCTCCAGTTACCTTTTCCACCCTTTGTGGATTCTTCCTACTTGCGCTGCTCGGGCAAGTTCAAAAATTCACCTTCATGTATATTATGCAGAGAAAAAATGTGTTTATTATATAGTGTGCGTTGAAGAGGGGTGATGGTAATTATCATACCATCATTGTGCATAAATAAAATTCGTTCTTAGTTTTTTTTTTTTTTTGGTTAAACTTGACTTTATTCTTTGTATTTTTAAATTGTTGAATTATTTCTCTAATTTTAGTAAACATATACAATTTATGGACAATTTTTTACCGTACAAAGTTGAAAAAGAGACTAAATTTATATGTTTTCTAAAGTTGGAGAATTAATTTATTGATTTGAAAGTATAAAGAGAAAAACCAAGTGTATCCAAAAGTTTAGGGAGAAAAATTCCTATTTCATGTTATGCATATGAATGAGATTAAAAAAACTGTTCATTCTAGTGCCTGAAATGCGTTTTATTTTAGTTTGTTTCCAGTTATTTGGCGCAGGCTTTTGGGTACGCTGGGATTTACTACGGCTCAGCTACACTCAGCACATCCATGCTCAACCTCGTTCCTGGTTTTGCTTTCATACTTGCTGTTCTTTTTAGGTTTATAACATTTCCCTCTTCTTGTTTATATACCTTACCCTTCCTTCAGTTTGTGCTCTAGCTTCCTTCACTTAACTCTAGCATGATGTATTTCATTATGGGACAATGTGAATGTCATGTTTGGTTCCGCATCCTAGATGTGGTTTCCACGTTTTATCTTACTTAGCAGCTAATGATTATAGCTTTCACATTCGGAAGGTGATTTTCTTACTTGCCAATGGATTTCTTAACATGTTGCTTGCAATTTTAGTATCAATACAATGTGACGATTATATTTCATATGAGTGTTGAACGTAGGGGAACTGCATAGAAGTATATATAGTATGGATCAGAATATTAATTCAGTGGATATTAGGTTTGATGAAAAAGAATGGATGTTACATGGAAGTGCAGGGGATCTGTTAGGGTCCAATTACAAGGTATGAAGCTTGATTCAAAGTTGGAATTCCAGTGTACAAATTGAAAGGCTTTGGGCTTTCTAACTGTAACGACTGGCTTTGGTAGTGTGGTTCTCCCAAGGTTCTCATCATAATCTTCGAATTTATTTCTGGATTGTATTTTCAGAAATTCTGTTCCCTTTAGATGAACTTGTTCCAGATAATCTTGACCAATCCCTCCAAGCATTCTGGTTGTGGCCATTATAGTAGTAGTGATGATGAACAAAGAGGACAATTGGGCTTATGGAGCCTTGTAGTTTTTGTCTAACTCTTGGGGTATTCTAGGGGCTATAGATTGGCAATTACTTTTTGTCTTGAAATGAAAAATATTTCATTTTGGAGTTTGGACACCTGATGGCAACATGATCACTTCTTGATTCTATATTTATATATACATATATCTGGATCAAATGATGAGTTTAGTTGGGTTGATGAATTGGAAAGTCTTCTGTAGTTCTTTTAAAATAAAGGTAATGCTTTTGTGTTGTTTATATGTGTGTGTATGTCATAAAAGGATCGCTAAATATGCACTTTTCATTATAGAGCAAATGATGACATTGTTGTTCTTTCTATTAGTGGTTCACCGCTGTAGATTTATAATCTTTTCCCACTTTCTGGTTCCAGAATGGAACAATTAGATTTGAGAAAATTTAGCAGCCTAGCTAAGTGCTTGGGAACAATAGTATCAATTGCTGGTGCATTTGTTGCGACTTTGTACAAGGGCCCTACACTTTTGCTGGGAGTGGCATCTGAAAACTCATCTCCTAAGCCTCTTTTCTCGGAAGATTCTAATTGGATACTCGCAGGATTATATCTTGCTGCTGATTGTGTAATGGCTTCGGCATTTATTATTCTGCAGGTAAAGTTACCTTATTATTGGTAGAGCTCTCATAACTGTGATTTCTACCAGCATGGTGCAAATACTCTATAATTGGTTAATTATAATTTGCTATATTACAGGCTTCTATTCTAAAGAAATATCCAGCAGAGTTGATTGTTGCATTCTTTTATTGTTTCTTTGTGGCCATTCAATCTGCTGTGACTTGTTTAGTTGTGGAAAGAGACGTCAGTGCTTGGAACTTGGAACCTAAATTCAGGTTGCTTTCAGTTTTATACTCGGTAATAAAAATGTAAATCAAATAAATTAAATTAGCACTAGTAATTACTGCGTTATCTTTGCCTATAAGTCTGTACTTCATCTGTAAACTTTAACAGGGAGTCTTTGGTTCGGCATTTCAAGTTGGTATTATTTCTTGGTGTTTGCACCAGACGGGACCAGTTTTTGTTTCCATGTTCAAGCCCTTAGGAATAGTAATTTCAGTGGTTTTAGGTGTTCTCTTTCTCGGGGACGCATTCTATCTTGGAAGGTGGGTTGTGTAGGTTGTGTTAATTGTACTATTGAGTTTATTTTATATAACATGAATTGATTGTTACCATTCAATGCAGTCTGATTGGTGCTACTGTGATTGTTGTTGGGTTTTATTCCGTATTATGGGGGAAAGCCAAAGACATTGAAGACGCTGGAGTGAGAATCTTGGAATCAAAGGGCAAACAGGCCCCCCTTTTGGAGGAAAACAGCCATGAAGACATACAAGGGCATTAATTCATTTTAAAAGGATGCTCCAATTATTCCATCAAAAAGGCATTTTCAATTGTTTTACTCAGAATAAAGGATTCTGCTCTGTCTCTAAAGTCTATCATTTCTTTCCTTTCTTTTGGGGATGGGGACTACCGTTTACCCATATACTAATGTGTAAGTTGTAACATGTGTTTATCAAATCTTGAAGAGAAGTAATGTTGTAATATCCTTCTTTTGTAAAGAAAAAAAATGTTGTGTGAATACCATAAGTTTGTCTAACTTTACACCATGAGAGAAAGACTATGAAGAGGGATGAGTGATATATGGTAGGTGATAAGACGTGAGAAAAAGAAAAATGAAAATGAGATGTTGAATGAGTATTTGTACTGCTGAGGTATCCACATATCACTGTTGGAAAAGAAAAAGTTCATCTAATATAAAAATCATGTTGCATATCAAAAAAATAAGAAAGCCTAGTAAGTACAAACTACTTTTAACATCATTCTGAAATGAAAATCCGAAGATAGCCAACAAATACCGTCAGATCTCACTGAAACTATGGTAAAGGTTGAGCTATTATAGAAATTGGTATTTAATTGCAATGTCTTTGAGCATTTCCCAAGATTATCAATATCTTAAACAAGACAAGGACTGATATAAAGAGTTACTCATACAATGATCTCTCTTTCAACTTTAAAGCAAGCCGGGGCCATAGTCATATATATACTTTCTAAGAGCACTTATTGACTTTATTGGTATTCATTCACATCGACTTTCATTTAAGAAAGCAAATTGATGATCCATTTCCATCATGCTTTCATTGTAAATACACTATTGAGAAATCTAATTAAAAATTATTATTTTTTAGTTTTTATTTTTCTCTCCCGTGCCCATAAATCTAAATGAGGAGATATTGAATGCAAGTAAATTATTACAATATCATTTCAGTATAATTAATTGATTCATTGGACAACAAACTAAAAAAATTCTGTTACATTTTATAAATACACCGACCTTGTACATCATTCTCTCCAATATTATAACAACGTCAAAGTGTTGATCGTTATTTTTTGTTTTCCCTTCAAGCGAAAGAAACTTGCCAATTTTTTATTTAGAAATAGCATAGAAAAGTCATGAACCTTTTAAATTTCAATTTGATTTTAAACATATAGGTCCAATATACTAATTTTCCAATTAAGTATATGTAAATGGTCCCGTTTATCTTTTAAGTTCATTCCACTTATCTAACGGCACATATATACCAAAGTGTAATTATGTTAAAGATATAAATTTTAAGTAAATTAATTAAATTAGTTTATATTTTTTATTTGACATAATATAATTGGAAGCAAATCAATTGAACACGATGAAAATTAGTTCGAGCATTGAATTTGTATTATTATGAACCTATAATTTTAAATTGACGTCAAGAGGAGTAGTCCGCATATATATAAATCCTACAAGGAGAATTAAAGTATATGATATGAGATTCTTCTTGATATCTCTTAGACAAAGGAGAAATGTTCATTACAATAAAATACATCTTTTAACACTAGAATCATATGATTTTTTTTTTAAATATAATGTTTTTTTTTAAATGTTCACATTTGTATAGTATTGAATCCAAGTAATACTTATGGGATTGATTTGATTTAGATATTGGAAAAAAAAACATAAGGTCGGTTTTGATTTTATATTCATCTAAATCCGATCTAAATTTACTTATTATGAACACCCTTAACAATTTTATGACAATGCCATTTAAAAAATGTCTTCTTCTTTTTTCGGTCCACCTTACAGAATGAAATGATATAAACATTATCCACTTCTTGTTAGTAGCAATGCAGAAACATCCTTATTTATTTAAATTCTCACTCGTCAACCCTATTTTATCATTGACCACTTTCATAAAATAAAATTAAAAAGTCAGTGCTAGCACATTGTTGATATTATTGCAACCTTTCAAATTCTGAAGGAGCAACAGTAACTAACAATGTTATGGGCTCAGTTTGCTGGTTGCCCCAACACTGTATTGACTCTGTCAGGCCTGGGCAACAGGTCCACCAACAAGCGCATGAGTATTGACGACAACCTGGTTGAGTTTGATTCATCTCAATTTTGACAAAAATGGAATGATTCATAAAATATTCCACAGAATAGCATTTTCCTCAGATACTAATTGAATCTTCAATAGTTACACTAAAATATGCAGGTTTATATCAATGCATGTTAAAGTCCTCTAATGGTAGGGCCACAAAAGATGCTTGCCACTAATGCATTCCCAACCGTACTAGAAAGCTTTCCCTTATTGATCCTGAATTATTCATGTATTATACCATGGGTAAATAAATAGCTCCATCAGGTTAACTACAAGTGATAACAGTAGTATATATACAAATGCTTTTTAGTCTTTGGTTTAACTAAAAATGATAAATTAAGACCAAAAAGAAAAGAGACAAATGAACAGAGAATATGAACACAAGATCTACACAAAAAGTAAAATTATTTCAATGATTTAAAACTACCTGAGACGTCAGCTTTGGCCCTTTGTTCAAGAATTTGGGACACTCGAGTTGCAACTTCACCTCCCAATAGTTTCCCCATTTTGTGAAGGGTTACACTTGCATGGCCCCATGTCCTCTATCCCTCTCTCTTTGCTTCTTAATATATATTAGGAGCAGAAAGCAAGCATTTCAACAGCAACACAATACGGAGAGGGTAAGAGGGTTTCTTGGTGTTTGTTGAAGCTCCTACTTGGGGTTTACATATACATAGCGCTCTTTAGTTATTAATATAATAAGAAAGAAAGTGGTATTTATACCACCATTGGCATGGAGGCTAAGACTAAGATGTCTGAGGTGCTGCCATTCATAATCATGGTGATTATGGAAGGTTGGACCATAGGGTTGACGATTTTTGCAAAAACTGCGATAACTAATGGAATGAGCCCATTTGTGTTCATTGTTTATACCAATGCTTTGGCCACTATAATACTGTTCCCTTGTTCCTTTTTATCACACCAAGAGGACAGGTCTCTCTCTCTTCCTCTTTTGCCTTTTCCTTAAGACTCAAGTTGCTAGCAACATGCATGAGGTTGTTTGCATGGATTTTGTATTGGTTCTGATCTTCAATGTTCTCTTTTTTGCACAGAAAGGAGCGGCCAACTTTTACTTTCTCTTTGTTCATGCGATTCTTGTTCCTTGGTTTTATAGGGTATATATACATGCATTCTCTATTGAGGCTTAAATTTTTATGCCTTTTTTATTTTCTTCAAATGGTTGGTTTCATGTAGCTAAATTGCTTGTTCCTTATCAAGTGCTGAAGTTGGTTATGTTCATGATTTTACATTGATGGATTTTGCAGGATAAGCGTGACTCAGAGCTTTTTATTCCTGGGTCTAAGTTATAGTTCGCCAATACTTGTGTGTGCCATGGGCCACTTGATTCCAACGTTTAACTTTCTTCTCTCTCTCGTTCTCAGGTTCCTTAAAACTTGCATTGAATGGTTTATATATCTCTTCATTTTGATCATAATGCACATTTTCCATATCAGGGTATAGCAAAAGATTTATACGAGTGGAGGTAATATATATATATATATATATATATATATATATATATATATATATATATATATATATATATATATATATATATATATATATATATATATATATATATATATATAATTTTTAAAAGTATACAATAATCGGTATCAAAACGCTTATTCCAATTTACCCGTTAATAATGATGGATATAATAATTTTATGATTTCATTTTTTATAATAAATGAGAACTATAAACACAGAAAATAGTTTATAAATCTATCATTACTATGAGTATATTTAAGAAATGGTTTCTATAAATATTTATACAGGAAATAATAAATTAAAATTTTCTCATTAATTAACAATAATTTATACTTCAATGAATTTGAACTTATGAAATAAGTTTAGTTATTTTATATATTTTTTTCCTGATTTTTTACTGAAAAGTTATTCAACCAAAATTATACGAATCAAAAGTTTTATTAAACTTTATAATAATATTTCCAAAGTTATGTTTATCCATGGATTGAATTTAGTTGATAATACAGATAATGTACAAAAACTAAACTCTAATAAAAATATATCATTTGATCATACTTGAAAAACAAAATTTATTGGTGTGGTGGCTCTCTCTATTTATATATTACTAATACTGATGGTATAATTATACTTAGAAATAAATTTAATTCATGTACTTTTAGTTTATTTCAGGAAGACACAGTTGAATTTGAGAAGCCTTGGTATCCAAGTCCAAGTGATTGGTATCTTGGTATCAATAATAGGAGCAGTGGTAACTGAATTCTACAAGGGACCACTTATAAGACCCTCTTCTCACCACCTTACACAAACTAAGCAATTTCTTGTCTTCTCCTCAACACCAGAGTTTTGGATTCTTGGTGGCGCCTTGCTTGCTACAGCTTTCTTCTCACTTTCAGTTTCCCACTTTATCCAAGTATAATCTTCTCCTTTAATTTTTAAACCCCTTTAAATTTTTTTTTCTATTTTTATCCGAATGAATCTTCGTGGTAATTCAAGGTTGTTCTTATAATTTACTTTTCACCCTGCTAGAAAGAAACTCTTGAGCAATATCCAGAACCAATGAAGGTGGTTTCTTATTCTAGCTTAATTGGAACGATCCTCAGTGCAGTAGTCTCATGTATAGTTGATAGGGACATAAATGCTTGGAAGATAAAACGTAACAAGGATCTTATTCTCATTGTTCTAACTGTGAGTGTCAACATATATAGTTGAATAATTTGATATATATAATTAAATAACAGCAAAACATACATATGTGCTGATGAGAAATATGTAACAGGCACTTGTTGGGGGTGTGATTCGTCCAAATACTCAAGTATGGTTAACTCGCATTAAGGGTCCATTTTATGTGTCACTTTTCAAGCCCTTTGGTATTGCCTTTGCCACAACTTTTGCAGTTTGCTTCTTTTCTAACAGTCTTCATTATGGAAGGTACCTAGATTAATTTCTCTCTCATTTGTTGACCCCAGATGGACATTTTTATGCAAGTAACTAGGCATAAGAATTTTGGTTCACTTAATTTTTCTGTATGTGTTTTTTCTTTGGAAAAAAATATGCAGTGTGATAGGAACAACTGTAATTGGAATGGGGTATTATACAGTAATGTATGGACAAGTCAAAGGAAATGAAGAAGAGAAAAGCTGTGACGATAGCTCAGATTCCTTGGACAAGAAGATACCTCTTCTGCAAGAAAAAATGGAGGAAGTGTGAACAGAATTTCCAAAGATTCTAGAGGCAGAGGAATTCACCTTCTTTTCACAGTCTTCTTCAGTATCATCTAGTTTTGAACTGATTGTGATACATGTAATTAGAACAGAAAAAAAAATAGGTGGTTGAAACTTGAAACCTTTGTATTTTCGTTGTACAAAAATATCTATCAATCTGTATATAAAATATATAAAATTAATAGATATTGATCAGTTGTTTGAAAATTATGAATGTCTAAAACTCAATACTCTCTAATATAAACGCAGTGTATGTGTGTTTCTGGTGGAATTTTGATCGATTTCGATCCTAAGGGTATTTTGGTCCTAATCGAAATTCTACCATGTAAGTTCTTTTTTACTTAGGCTAGCAATTTGATTTTCAATCGAAAATGTGTATGAGAGTCGAAAACTATAAGTATCGAGAAATACTATTTTTGGTATTTTATGTCTAAAATGCTCGAATCAAACAAAGCAGTAAAGTATCGAATCGAGAAAAGAGTATTAAATTGCAAGAAAATGCGAAAACCCCAAATTTGCAAGAAATTAAGTTTGCAAGAGAAATAAAGGACAGGAAATCGAAATGTGCGGGAAATGTAAATTGCTAAAACCCATTAAGATTGCATAAAAAGTAAATAACAGGAAATCGAAATGACATTGAATGTAATATACAAGAATATGAAATTGCTGAATTGAAATGACTCGAAAGTAAATTACCAAGGAAAATAAAGAAAGCGATAAATGTACTCCGTGAGCGGGAAATCCAGATTGCCGAAACTTCATGGTGTTCGTCGTTCCTCCGGTAGACGTTTCACCGCCGATTCTCGCGCTCCGCCAATTTTTGCTCCCCCTGTTCCTTCCTTCTTTGCTCTATTTATAGGGCATCCTTCAAGCCTTCTAAGAGCAGTTAATACGACTGCTACCACGTTCTACGTGCGTATGGCAGTTTATCTTCTAGTTTCCCACGATCTCACGATCTCCAACTTTTACCCATGATTTCAAAACTGCTCTCTATACGTGCATTCGACTTACTTCCCTTCACGATTTGGCCAAAATCTCGATGTCCCCATTGGCTTTCTTTATTCTCGATTCTATATCTTTCGAGAACTTCGAATTGCTCACGATTCCTTTTTAATCCTGATCTTATATGACTTAGTTTTTATTTGACAACAGTCATTTGATTACAATTCATTCGATTCTCGATTGTGTTTCTCGATGCTATATGCTACGTATTTCTAATTAGACATCGAATGAACTTTTGTTTATCTTATCGAGTCATATTTCTTCCCTTCGATTTCGATCGCTTTTCTCGATTTGCTACTAACAAAATGCCCCCTTGGAAGAATATAAATGATTTCTGTTTTATATTCTTTCAATATTCCCGCCTTAGTGTTTGAAAGCCCACAGGATTTAGGGTTTAGGGTTTCTGGGGTTCTAGGGTTTTAAAAGGGTTGTGGGTTTCTTTTTTGCTTTATGTCGTTGTCTCGTCAGTCTGTTGCCTTCACAGTACACTGCATTTATTGCCTTTCACCTCCATCGTTCCAGTTCCCTATACGATTTACCCTTAACCTCTCCCTTAGTCTTCACTCTGGTTTTTACGCGAACCATTACCTTCTGTGCAATTTCATCTTCTTCCTTGAGCTCTTGCCTTCGTTCCTATTACCTCATCCGTTAACTCTTCCCTTTCTGTTTTCCTAAATTCACTACAATGGCCAACTCATCAAAATCTTCTGACTTTTCTGCTCCACCCCTTTCTTCACTGCCATCTAACCTGCTGGAGATTAACAACCAGAGGTTCGCTCCAGTTCCTCTGATGGAGGAAGCTTCCCGTAAGATTGCTGAGACGCAGGTACTTATTCCTTATACTGTTGAAGGGGTAAATTTTGCTTTTGGGGGTCCTCTCCGTCCTATCGATGACATTTTTACTCCTCTTAACCTCTCGACTAGTCCGGCTTTGGTTCATCAACCTGAAGTTAGGGTTGATTTTCTGAATCTTACTTCTAAAGTGTATAGAACGGGCCCTCCTTCCAAAAAGCCTCTGTATATTCGATGGTTTGATAGGGTCAAGGCTAAGTTTGGGGATCACTGGAGGAGTACTGGTATTTTCGATTTTTTGCACCTGTCCCGATGTGACCTGTCTCATTTGGACATGGCGATGTTCTTATCTGCAGTGCATTTATGGAATCAAGACCTACATGTTTTGGAGTTGCCTTGTGGCCCTGTGTCGCCCACCCTTTTCGAGGTAGCTGCTATTACTGGGTTGAAACCCATAGGGGAGAGGTATTTTCCGGGTGCATATCCCTCAGATAATTCATTGAGGTCGAAAATTGATTGGGAGTCGAAGGCCTATGGGCATTTTCTCGAGAAACACTTTGTTGATGACCCCTCGATAGCAGTTACTGACGAAGAACACGTAGCATTTTTGGTGTATTGGTTATGTACCCATGTTTTTTGCCCCCGTTCAATCCAAATTTCCCCCCATTTGTTCAATCTTGCATATCTCCTTCACCTAGGCCACCCTAGACTTTGTTTAGCCAAAACTTTATTAGCACATGTATATACTGCTTTCGACGAAGCTGTCGATATTTTGAGTACCCCTAAGGCATCGGGGAATTTTTCTGGCCCTGTTTGGTTTATTCAATTATGGTTAATTTCGATATTTGAAAGTATCCTTCCTCGGATTTCTACTGTTCCCCCAAGTGTAAATATAGAAGGGGCCCGATTATCCTCCCGCCATCCTCGCCAAAAGACTGATGAGTCTACCTATTGTAAATACCTCCACTTTTTGTTGACTAGATCCTCCTTTGATTCGACCTTGGCCCCGTTTACCGTAAATCTTGGACAAATAAATGGCCAACTTAGGGGACCAGTTTGGTTTAAGTCAAAATTCCCAGCTTCGTCTCCCGGGTTACAATTGGAGCTGGTCGACATATGGAGTAGTTATTTGACCCATGATATATTATTATCGGGTTTTCAGCCTAAGGATTTCAAGTTTATTACTTATTACCCGCAGTTTCTTTCGAGGCAGTTTGGTCTAAGCCAATCCCTACCTTTCTTCCCCCTCGATACATCCCCCAAGTCCAAATTAACTGAATCTTCACTTAATCGGGAGCTTATCAAGCTTTTACCTAAAACCCCGATGCACTTTTACCCCTATGCTTTCGATTCGAATTATTTATCTACTGTGGGTTTTTCTCAATGGTGGGCCGGTTGGTTCTCGAGTAGTCATGCTACTTTTGATGAAGTTCGCCAGAAACTGACTACTCAACCTTCTCTTGTGTTGCAGGACAAGTCAAAATCGAAGAAAGGTACACACTTCCACTGTCTTCAAATATCTCGATTCGAGAACTTTTATCAAATATGTTACACCCCACTGAAATTAGAATCGACCTATTATGATGCTGTTATCTCCTTATCCAATAAAACGGACATTAATCGATCGAACCACAAAATAATCAATCCTTTAGGTAGAACTCCTTTTGAAATGTATTGTCCAAATCGCCTTCCAACTTTTCCCACAGCTCCTTTTGGACTTGCCAAACCATTAACTCATCCAAAATGGGTTCGAGAATTGAGAACCCTCAGGGAAACACGTCGCCCAAAACCCATAAACAAAGATATTTCTGTCTCAAAATTATCTTATTTCCCTTACCTTAACCTCCCTGAGGCTCTTTTGCCTCCCTGGCTTGTACATATCGACCGAGTCAAGATCTTGACTCCATCACCTTTTGGTGAGAGTTTACTACTTTCTTATACTTTTTTGATTCTGTATATTATAAGCTAATCCATCTTCTTTTATTGGCAGTTTCGAAATCTACTAAGGTCTCCGCTGTCGAGAAAGGTCAAGAGAAGGGACAAGAGGACTGGGGATCCTCGGGTGAATCGGACCCATCAGCCTTGATCAGAAAACGCAGACGTTCGGCCACCATTCCTACTTCTTCGAAAAAGTCGAAGGTTCATTTTGACTTCTGTCTTGTCCTATTTATTTCTCTGTTTGATCGATCCTTATTCTTATACTTATCTTTGTTTCGATCTTCCATTTTCAGAAACAAAAATCGAAGAGTCCTCGATCTGTTCGACCAATTGCTCTTGATCCATTATCGACGGACTCTAATACCATCCCCACGACAACACCTGCTACCCGTTCCAGTCACGTAAGTTTCCTTCTCTATACAAATTCTATGTTCTTAAGTCTCGATAAAATTTGTAACAAGGTTTCAAAATTTAATTTTCAGGATCTTCCATCGGAGACTGTATCGACGAATGTCGAATCCCAACTATTAACACCCCTCACTGAGGTATCTTACATATCATTGTATGATTGCTTTTACTTTTTGTGCATTTCTTGTTCTGACAATGGTTTTCGATATACAGCAACCTGAGGCTGTACAGATTCTTCCTCCTACCTCGGCACCACTTGCTCTACCTCCCCCTGGTATTTATACTTTTCATTGTCACTTTTTCACCTCATTCTATTATGAACCTCTCGATCTTACATTCTCGATTTCTTTCTTTTCAGTAAATACTCCAATAATCGAAGTCCAAGGCTCTCCTTCCCCTGTTTCTGCGGAGCAAGAGGATTCTCCTCCTTTTGCGATGCCCCCTATCGAGTTGCTCTCGGCGTCATTACCAGAGATAGATGTGCCTGCTCCGAGCACTGCGCTAGAATATCGAGCTGCAATCGAAGAAGACCCTTTTTCTATCCTCGATATTCTATTATCTACAGAAGTGACACCGTCGAGCTCTTCTAAGACGCCCATGACTTCTACTGAAGGACCATACCAGCTGAAGCAACGCTTCCGATCTTTCTTTTATTCCTCGCCCCTTGAAGTTTTAGTGGAGTCACGCGACAAGAAAAAACAGTTCCAGGATATTATTACGCCCTCGAGACGTGCCCCGATGAAGATCTTCCAAGGGGTCTCGATGCGGAGGTCGCGGCGCTGCCGATTTGTTCAATAAGGCATATGCGGCGAGGAAGAAAAACAATCGATTTCGACCAAGCTCATC